TTTATTTATCAAATATGATACAGTTTTAACAGCTTCCCCCCAAAACAATTTTGGAAGTCCTGCACTAATTAACATGCACCTAACTCTTTCTAACAGAGTTCTATTCATCCTTTCTGCTAGACCATTCTGTTGTGGGGGTATAGGTGATAGTCCTATGTCTTAAAATTCCATTATTATTACAGAAATTATCAAATTTCTCATTGCAGAATTCAAGGTCATTGTCAGTTCTAAGGGTTTTAACCTTTTTATTCCATGTAATAAAGTTTTGAAATGTATCTAATTTATTTTTTAAAAGAGTAACCCAGGTCTTCTTTGAAAAATCATCAACAATCAGTAAGAAGTATTTAAAACCAGAATAGGTATTCACTGTAGCTGGTCCCCACAGATCAGCATGAAGATATTCAAGAATAGACTTAGATTTATGGACTCCTATACCAAAAGGTAGTTTTCTTTGTTTTCCATAAATGCAGTGTTCACAAAAGGACACATTTTCAATTTTTTCATTTCCTAAAAGGCCTTGCTTCTTAAGAATATATAAATTTTTATCACTCACATGTCCTAGCCTTTTGTGCCAAATTTCAAATTTATCAGGCTGAGTTACTGTTGCTGAAATTGGTTTGTTTATCATTGGCAAAGTTTTTAAAACATAGATCTTATTAATTTTTTCAACACAAGTGATATTTTTCAAGTTCTTTTGTAAATTCAAGGTGCCTTTGTTTATAGTTGTATCAAAACCTTCATCGTCAAGAACACCTAAAGAGATCAAATTTCTCTTTAGCTTGGGAATGTATCTGATCTTGTCCAGAGTCAGTACATTTCCATTTTCTAGTCTTAAATCAACTTTGCCAATTCCTTTAATTTTACAAGTAACATCATTTCCCAATATTACTTGACCTTCATTAATTTCAGTAAAATCAATAAAGTATTCCTTACAGGGTGTCATGTGAAATGTACAGCCTAAGTCAATGATCCATTCATCCTTGATTAAAGATTGACAAGCCACATAGACTTGTCCATTTGAGCCTGCAGCTTCTTCATAAGCAATAGCGGCTCCACCTTCAATTTTATTGATGTTTTTCAGTTCATCAATTCTTATAACACAATATTTGATAAAGTGACCCATTTTTCCACAAAAGTAGCATTTCTTTCCTTTAGCCTTATTATTGTTATGATTAAACCTGGTCTTACCTTTATGAAAGTTTCCATTGTATTCTTTTGGTTTTCCAAGATTTTTATTTTGAAAGTTATTGTTGTTCCTTTTGAATTGATTATGTCCTCTGACATTATAACCAAAACCTACAGAGGAGGTTTTAGTTTCACTTCGAAACTCTAGTTCTTTATTTCTTAAAGAGGCAACAATAACTTCCACAGTCATGGAAGTTCTTCCATATTCAAGAGCATTTCTTAAATCTTTATATTTTTCAGGTAAGGCAAACAATAAGGCTACTGCCTGTTGTTCACTAGAGAGTTTTTCACTGCTATTTGTGAGATTTTGAGTTAGTTTATTAAATCTGTCTAGATTTGCTTCAAGATCAAGATGTGGTTCAAACTTGAAACTAAAGAATTGTTTCCAAAGATAACGTTTATTTGGAAGTGATTTCATTTTATAAAGTGATTCAAGTTTTGTCCATATTTCTTCAGCAATCTCAGTCTTTCCTACTTCTCTAATGACACTATCAGATGTAAGAAAATCAAGACTCCATGCAATGTCAATTTGTTTGTTTCTTTTTCTTTCTATGATTTCTTCTTCCTAAGACTCATCAAGAGCTTTCACACATTTATGTTGCATCAAAAGTGCCTTCATTTTTTTACTCCAAAGTGTAAAGTCCCCTTTTCCATTCCAAATCTCTATATCAACTTTCGTACTTGTCATTATTTTTGAAAGAAATTTTAACAATCTTTTTGGCCAAAGTAGATTGAGATATGCAGTGTAAAAAAAAATTATATGCACAAATGTATACACAAAGTATTAGTGTGTAGATGACTATCACACAAGTGCACAGAATATACAACACAATAAGCAGGTAAATCAGATAACCAATAAACCATAAAACATTTATTTTCAGTCAACATTTAATCTTGAAGAAGTTGTTAAACCCAGTCCCCTCAGATTCTAGGGTTCTCGTATGAAACCCTAGACAAAGGTAGATCCAGGTAGGCCTCAACCAAGAACAATAGAGTTATCTGAAGAATCGAAAAATTAGGTTTAGGGTTAGAAAACTCTTTACCAGAATCGTCTCAGGCCAATAGTGTAAAATAGTGAATACCAAGACTATTTTACTTTTTAGCAAAAAGCAGTAAGTCGAACGCTCACAGAAGTAGTACCACAAAGGTAAAACTCTTTGACCATCAAGAAGAGCACTAGAAGCCAAGAACCGAATTATGTATCAGATCGACAATGCTCTGATACCACTGTTGGTATTAACAGTTCCAATAATCCAAAGAAAGTACAGAAATACGAAAGAAACACGAAGATTTTTTGTCCGAAGGCCCGGATGTTCACCCAAAAGGGCTACGTCACCACGTTGAGCTTCCACCGAAGTGGTTAACACTCTAATCCACTAGAAATTGGCAATAGAGTATCAATACAAGGTTTATAAACTACAGATCTAAAAAGATCAGCCCTCAAACCCTATATTTTCCCTCACAGATTCGAACAAACAGATTATACCGAGTAATCTACCCTCACTGTTCAACCAAGAACAGATATAACCTTAACACCAAGTGCACGAATCAGATCTCACCAAGAACATCTACAGATTTAGAGATTAAACCAAAAACCAGAGGTTTTTTGAGAGAAAATTACAAAGAGCAAAAATGAAAAGCTAACCCTAAGCCTCTCGAATAATAATAGGGGCGATACCTTTATGTGCAGATGCCACGGACCGAATTGTTTGGAAAATTACTTCGGATGGTGACTTTATCACCAAATCAGCATGGCAGCTAGTCCGTTTGGTTCGCCAGCCTCAGGACTCATATCGACTGCTGTGGAGCTCTATCTTGCCTACCACTATTTTATTCTTCTACTGGAGACTGTGGCAGGATCTCATTCCAGTAGATGTTGTTATTCAGAGGAGAATTGGATGTCAGTTGGCTTCTCGTTGTAAGTGTTGTTCCGAAATTGAGACCATCAATCATATTTTCACGAGCAGCAGCATCTCCGACTAGGTATGGCAGCACTTTGGAGACATCTTTCAGATACCTATGACTTCAGAGGAGGGGGTCAGACAGAGGTTCCAGAGATGGCGGTATTCTGGACAGCAC